CTCTTTCAAAATAAAATAATTACTAATTCTAAAAAAATAAAATAAAATATAAAACAAACTATTATATATATATATATATACACACTTTAATTAATTATTTATTTACTATAAATGAGATGAGAGATTTGAATTCATCAGCCAAAGGTCAAAGACAATTATTAAGTGTTTTTTTTTTCTTTTAAATATTTGTAATTACTATAATTACAATATTAATATAATTTATTTTATTTACTTTAATAATAAAATAAAATTTTATCTTCTCTCCCCATTTTTTTAAATGTTATATTCTAGTTTTTTTAAATAAATTTAAATAAATGTCACTTGTTAAATTTATGTTCTCTCCTAAAGTAAAATAATTCATATACAAAAATTATAAAGCAATTTATCTTCTCTCCTAAAATATTTTTATTATATAGGAGAGAGGATAAATTTTAATAAGTAACATTTTTATTTAAATTAGTTATTCTCAGCCACCATAGTTATTTAATTTGTGCTTGAACCAACATTCAATATTTTGCACCATTAAAATTCATTAAATTAAAGTTAATGAAAAATCGATAAGTGAAAGTCATTTTAAATGCTTAAATTCTATAGAATGGTCATGAAATGTAACATGCAACAATATGCAAATATGCAAAGAAAAGAGTGAAATTTAGATTTTTAAGCAATGTTTTTATTTATTGTCAAACACCATAGGAAAATACTTAGTTCTAGACTCGTGAGACTATCTTGTAGAATACAATTGTTAGACAATTAAGAGAGAAATATAAAAATAATATTTTTTAATAAATAATAAATTTTGAATTTTTCAATAATGACCACCATAGAGATATGCTCTTAGAACCTAAGTATTTTTTTAGCGCATTTATAGCCATCTAATTAGATAGTTTAATAAACTATAATGAACACGCTCAATTCGATCCCACCCGAACATGTTGTACTAAAAAACATGCTCAATTAATAATTCTTCAAAATGTGCTTCTACAAAAGCGTTTTCTTTTTAAAAATATATTTTTCATAACTTGTCCAAACACACCCTATGCTTCTCAAAAACCCAGGAGAAAATCTCTCTTGTATTTAATTAATAACATTAATTCAATTCATTCTCATTATTAAATAAAGGCTAATATTCTTCCCGTAACTAAATTTTCCACAATGAAAAATGAGGTATCAAATGAATCTATGAATGTTTTAGTTGTATGGACATCGAGTTATTTAATAAAACCCTTCAAGTAATCAAATTTTTATTATAATTTAACCAAAAGTGTTACTCCACTGCGATTTAAACGCCTCCACTACATGAATTATATCCATGAATGCACTTACTATTTTAATAAAAAAAAAACTACCACTTATCTTCTTGAATCTCACTTGTCCAACAATGAAGAGTTTTTATAAACACATTAGGGAATTTAGAGCTGTACGAAAGAAAACCTGATGCCGATTTCTAAGCGAGATCCACGTGCCTCTTCATCTTCAAAGTCTTGATGCTTGTACATACAAATCTAGCACCGGTATAGTACTTTGCCAATTCATTCCGATGCTTAATTTAGAACTCAAGTTAAGGAGAAATGGATATGGAACAGAAAGAGTTAGAGTGCAGAAATCTCGATGATGAGAGTTTGCTTGAGAGTATGTCAAATCCTCACGAGGAGCTATCGTAGGGACCACCGACATTCTTTTTTTCCCCTCTGTATCGTGAATGGAGAGCATGCATTGTAGTATCTTGAGTGGCCCCCTAAAGCATATCACGATTTGGGTACATAGTGTCAATATCCTGCCTACTGGCTATTCTCTGTATAGGATGTCCACACGCTCAGGAGTTGGTCTAGTGCACTAGGTAATGTACGGTTATTTTCTTCATGGTTGGACGGGCCTTAAGTCGCGTGGCACCTCAATTTTACTGAATAGCACCTTATTGTCCAAATTTCTCTCGGATCTTTTATATGAGATATTTAATTTAATTATTGCGTGAGATTAGGTCAAAATCCTTTTTATTACAATTCTTTTCCTTCTTCCTCTCTAACTCGTTGGTTTGGGATAAAACACAGTCAAATTATGATGGTTTTGGAAGAAAAGAAAAGCAAGTTTGCTTTGTTTTGCTTTCTTATTCCAAAGTTTTTTTTTCATTCATAGCCTTTTGGCCTTTTTATTTCCCTTTTTTTATTTTTTATTTTTTATTTTCCTTCTTGGGGTTTGGTTGAACATACAGTATGTTGCCTGGAAAGAGAACAATTATTAATTGAAATCATGTGAAGCAGCTAGCAAAGAAAGGAAAACTAAAAATTGACATGGAAAGGAAAAGGCAAATGGTCCAAACTTAAAGGTCCCTTTCAAAAGTTGTAGTGTATTTAGGTAAAATCTCACCATTTACATGATGATAATAATAATAATGATGATTAAAAAGTTTTATATACACTACAAATTCTCACGCCTTTATCTTTTGCATTTGAATTGTTAGTTAAATTTCAAAAACAAAAACAAAATTTGAAAAGCTACTTCTCTTCATTTTCAAATTTTGGCTAAAACGTTGATAGCATTGAAAAAAGAAGAAGAAGGTGAATCTTTCGTTTTTATAAACTTAATTTTTAAAATAAAAAATAAAAAATAAAAATAGTTATTAAACAAGACAAAAGCCTTAATAACCTAACAAAATCAGAGTAGAATTTCCAAAACTACAAACAAGTAATTCTTTAAACTTGTTATAAAAAAAATTAAACTTTATTTTTTTATCGTTGAGAATGGAACAAAGTTTTAAAAGCACTTTTAAAATTTAAAAAATTAAATAAATAAAATGTAATTAGTTATGTTAAAAAAAACTTGTTATTAGACTTACAAAAATTGAGGAGAGAAAGAAAATAAGGTTAAATTACATAAATGGTCGTTCATCTATTCTAATTTCAAACTTTTACATAATCTTCTTAAAGTTTCGATAAACTAAAACCAAGTATTTGATTTCAATTTCATCTACAATATTTTAGAAGTTTCAATCCTATCTGCAAATTTTAAATTTTGATTAAGTATATATTTTAATGGAAATTGCTAACAAATGAATATTTCTGAAATGTAGCAAAAGATTGATGGAAGAAATTGAAACCAACCATATGATTAAAAGTATTTTGGTGTAAAAAAAAAATAAAAAAGGATTCAAAATGATTGGTGCAAGTGGATAAGGGAGAAGGGTTAGACATATAGGGCCAAATTGCATTACCAAAAATGAGTTTGATGTTGAAAATGACCCAACAGCTAAGAGTACAATTGTCTTTACCACCTAACAACTTTTTATTATAATTTTCCTAATTCATAACTAAGGCATAAACTTAAGCAATGGGCCATAATCTGTCATCATGATTATTGTTAACAACAAGAAAATTGGAAGGTTTGGATTTTAAATACCAACTTATCATACAAAAAAGATGAAAAAAAAAAATTCTGTGGAACGATTAATGGTAAATTTTATCGTCAACAGATTCGAACATGTGACATCTTAAAGAAATAAAAAAAATGTATTAACTCTAAAACTATACTTCTTTTTTCATACCATGATCTCTCGTTTTTATTACTCTTTTTGATAAACAACTAACCAACCTTTTTAGATTATGTTAAATAATATTGAACTTTTATTAATCAAATATATTTAGAGATTTTTATCCAAAGATTTATTTAATTAAATATAAAAGGAGTAAAAGAGACACAATTAATAATATATATCTTGGATCAAGTTCTACTCCCACAAATAGTATATTCAAAATTTGTTCCACGAATATTGAAATAAAAGAGTTTTATTGCTCCAAATCTATTATTTCTTATTTTATTTTATTTTTTATTTTTGTATACTTCAGTTAAGTCAAAATATATAAAAAAAATTAAATCTAAATTAGATACAATCCTAATCTCATACTTTTTCTTCATTCTTCAAAATATAAATTATTATGTTCATTAATGTAGGAGGCATACAAAGAACACAAGGGTGCAGCATATCTTAATTTCTCTCAACTTAAAATAGATATATAAATAAAATTTCATTGTTTTAAAAAAAATTTTATTTCTACCCTTCTTTATTTATTGGACTAAAAAGGTATTTTTCTTTCTCTACTTCGAAATTCGAATATAAAAATTTCTTCCTTATGAAAATTTGCTCTACCCATATCTATATATACATGTCCTCTTTCATTGAAAAAAAGTATATATATTATATATATATATATAAATTTATTCGTTTTTCTATTTCAATTAAAAAGAAAAAACTAATGTTTTGAAACATTAAATCCCTATGAATTTGGAAGAGAATTTCTCTCTAATATTATAGCTTCCAAAACTTTCAATGACAAAGAATAGATTCAAAAACAGAAATCACTACTTTCTCTCTCTCCCTCTTATTATTTATTCTTTTTTTAAGTTCAATCTCGGTAAACAATAAAAATCTAAAATTTAAACAAAAAAAAAATCTCTCTCTAGATATGAGATATTTCCATACTTAAAATAGTTTTGACTACAAAATTCCCTCCCATCAAGCCTTTTGAATAGCCCTCATTCCTACACTTTCTCTGACTAAACCCACTCTCTCTCTAACTTCCACTATCCCCAATTTACCCTTTCTTCTCTCTCTCTCCTCCCACATTCTCGCAAAATTAATAGCATCAAATTA